ACACCCAAGCTGGCTCTGAGGCTTCATAATCCATACAGAGGCCTCAGGTCCTTTTCTGTCCACAGGATTCAGGGTATTTGTTGACAATGTTTGTTTCAAATCCATATTCAGGAAGAAGAAAAGGAAGAGGAGGAGGAAGAGGGTGACAAAGAACCAGCTGCAGCTTCTGGCCCAGACTTCAACTACCTGCTGAACATGCCCCTGTGGTATCTGACCAAGGAGAAGAAAGATGAGCTCTGCAAGCAGAGGGATAACAAAGTATGTGCCTTCCTTTGCTTATTAAAAGTGTTAAGTTCATATATAATGTGGGGGGGGGGTGGTTTTTTTTTGGATGGTGGATTGAAATATGTGACTAATGATTGTCATTTATGATTCCCTTTAGCAAAAGGAGCTGGAAAACCTCAAGTGCAAGAGTCCCTCTGACCTGTGGAAGGAAGACCTTGCTGCCTTCGTTGAGGAACTCGATGTATGTCGATGCTCAGTGCAGATGACCCACTCCCTCATCTTATCCACCAGCTCTTTATTGACTTTTGGGGGTTTTCTGTGTTATTTTGTGCTCCCCTCTGCAGGCAGTGGAGGCCAAGCAAGCACAGGATGAGATGGAAGGGATTGCTGGCAAACCTCTGAAGGTGAAAGGAGGGAAAGCAAAGGTGAAGAAGGCCCAACTGCCAGAAGTGATGCCATCCCCTCATGGTGTCAGGGTTGTTCCTCGGATCACTGCCGAGATGAAGGCAGAAGCAGAGAAAAAGAAAACTAAAAAGAAGATAAAGGTACAAAGGAACATTCCAAATGCTTAGTCTTTCTTTGTATTTTCTTCAATGCAGTCCTAAAGAAATGCAAGTCCTTGTTAGCTGGACTTGTCCTGCTGAAGCAGCTGTTCAAGGAGAGGGACAGAACCTTGGGGCTTGGGGAGCACTGGGAAAGGGGGTGTCAGTCTAAAGGACAACAATTCACTAACGTATCAGGAGATGGCTTAGAGGGAAATCTTGACACATCACAGTGTTGGGGTGGGTTGGTAGCTCAGAAATGGAGAGGCAGGTGCAAACATGGTTGTTCCAGGTATCTTGGGAATTTGATAAACCCTTTAGCAGGCAGGAAGCACAGCCAGTAAATTCCCTTCTCCAGAACAGCCTTTGCATTCCCAGCAATGCTTTCAGCCAATTAATGCCATCATTGTTCTCCGTATCAAGGAGATGAAGAAGATTGAACTCTTTTTATAGAACTAGTTGAAATTGTGCCATTCAGTCATTTCCAGCAGAGAAAACTAACCCACCCCCTCACCTGTTTGGCCCTGGAAACCTTTCCTCCACATGGTTCCACCCAACAGTTTTTTTCCAAATAACTTCCACTGTTGTTTTTATCCCACCCTGTCCAGCTCTGCATCCTCATCTTCCCCCAGGGCTGTCCCAGTGGCAGGACTGGAGCACTCAGGAGTGGGGCCTGAGTTCCTGTTTTTGTTCCTGTTGGGTTTTGCTGTTTTAGTCACCTGATTTGGGGACAGATCCTGTCTGATTTGCAGATCCTGCCTGTAATCAGTTCCACACACAGTTTGTTTCACAGAGTCAGGTTTCTTGTATCACTAACTCTTCCACGTCTAAAATAAGCAGCTCCTTCCTCCATCACCCCCCGTGCCTCCTCTCCGGGAGCTGACTCACTGTTTGGTATCTGCATCTGCAGAGTGAAAAATCTGAATTTGATGAGAATCAGGATGAAAACACATCCGGAGAGAAGGAGCCTTCAGGCCTGAAGCAGAGATTAGCACAGAAGCTGAAGACTGAGCCAGGTAAATGCTTTGATGTCATTCCCTCAGTAGAAAGGGAGGGGAAGGGTTGTCAATTTGGTTATTTGACCTCTTCCTGAAGGTGGTGACCAACACCTGGGATCGGGAGTTTTGGAAAAACTAGGGGAGAAAGAGGTCCTGGATAACAGTCAAGCGGGATAAATTCCTATTTCTCTTTGTTTAAGCCAGAATCCTCTGAATTTAGTGTATTTCTAAGCTGAGTTTGAACTGCTGATCCTGAAGTACACATGGAAGTTTGCTGGCTCATCCTGCCTCCCACTATTTTTCAGGAGCTAAGAGACAGGCCACTCTACCCTTCAAACCAATAAAGAAAACCAAGAAACGAAACCCTTGGTCTGACTCAGGGTCTGATTCAGAGTCTGATTTTGAAGCACCTCCTCAAAGGGAACGAGTGGTTCGTCAGGCAGCAGGTGAGTGAGGACACGGCTGCAGAGAGGGATAATCTGTGAAGGAGAAAATGGAACAGACTATTTAGGGAGATCCCAGAGCCTCAGATCACATTCAGAAATGATTTTTAAAAGGCTTCTTTATTTTACTGTCGAAAACAATTAAATATTTCTACCATTTGTGCACACATTCAAGGGAAAGCAGAAAAGGGCATCTAGAGCAATATGGTTATTTGGTTTAATTACACAACTGTCTTGGCAAATTAAACGTGTTGTGGGTGAGGTTGGAAGCCTCCAAATGACAGAACACACTTGTCATTTGGAGTCTTCTCCCTGGCAGTCTCAGCATCTGCTTGTTTTTATTCAGATCTTTATTTTTTAATAACTGCAGCTAAAATATTGAAAAAGAAGCTGAGCTGCATATTGCCAAATGTGTAAAATAACACATCTGTGTCCTTCCATCAGCCAAAGTCAAGACCATGGTCATTTCTGACTCAAATTCCTCCAGCTCTGATGAGGAGTCTGAGTTCCAGGGTGACAGTGCAGGCAGCTCTGACTCGGATACAAACTCCAAGGAGAAGCCTCCTCCCAAGCCCAGAGCTGCTCCCAAGTGAGTATTTCTCCACAACCACTGAAGATTGGTTGTGCTTAATGCTACACATAAATTCGTAGCTCTGGTTTTTTTCAAGGCACCTATTTAGTGCATCATAAACTGAACAAATACTCGGGGTTTTGTCTTCCAGGGAAAACACTGAAAAAGCAGTGAAAGCTCCCAAGAAAAAGGCAGAGCCAAGCGCTGTCCCCAGTGAGTGAGAGACCTGTAAACCTGTGGATTGTCCCAAAACCCCTTGGGGGAGTGCACAGGGCAGAGCAGGGGGGACAGTTTGGCTCTTTCAGACTGACTTTGTGCTCCCTTTCCCAGTTCAAGTCCCAGATGTCACTGATGACAACGTGGACCAGGCTCCTGCTGCTCCCTCTGTCCCAGTGCCGGGCCCCAAGGCTGGGCCCAAAAAACCCTCTGCAGCCAAGAAGGCCGGAGCCACCAAGGGTAAGGGCAGCTCAGCAGCATCATTTCTGGAGCACAATTATAATTCCTGTGGGAAACGATCCGAGTGATTCCACTCGGTGCTCCAGGGCCTGAGCAACTGGAGTTTTCATTTCAAGCAAAGATCTGAGGTTTGTGGCAGAGGTTCTCTGGTTGTTGTCATGTTTAAGAGGTCTGTTTCCAAACATATCATGTTCTAGTTCATGTTGGACATGCTTGGAGGGAGGGAGTCTTAGTTTGGGAACAGGAAAAGTGAATGCTTCCTACAGGGCTATGTAATACTTGGCAGGAATAATCCGGGTGGAATTTGTGTCTTGCAGTCTATGTCTTACTTTGTGTCTTTTTGGGAAGAAAGCAGCCTGGGAGCTTCCCAGGAGGCAGAAAAGCTTTTTGGGGCAGTTTGATGTATCCAGTGCTGGCTCCACCTCGTCCATCTCTGGCATTTAACTTCTGGTTTTTTTTTAAACTAAACTGCCCAAACTTTGTCAGATTTTGATGCTGGTTTGTATATTCCAAATGGAATCAACTGGGTGTTAATCCCAGCAGGAAAATAGTGTGTTACTTCCACTCCTAAACTGAGAAAGCCTGTTATCCTTCAGAAATGAGCTGAACTGGGAGATGTGCTTCAAGATGCTCTTAAAAAATGTCAAAATGTAGTTAAGAAAGAATCCCCAAGTGAGTGTTTAGGAAATTCCTTCCTCCCTGTGCAGGACTTTGAAGGTCTGAGGTGGGCCACAGATCCTTGAGAGTCCAGAACTTTTCAAACTGAAATAGTCTGTAAATTGCTTTGGGGACCTTTTTAATTTGATCCTCTAAACTTAGCGGAACCGAGCAGATAAACAACCTCATTCCTCATCACCCTGGGAAGGGAGATCTTTCTAGAAGCCCCAGCTTCAAACGGAGGCGACCTGCGCGCTGACCCCTCGGCAGCGCCGAGCCTGTTTGTGTTGGAAGTAATTCCCAAGCTGGGAAGGAGAGAGGAGCGAAGCGGGGATTTAACACCACGTTCTGTTCCAGAGAACCAGCCCTCCATCATGGACATGCTGGCCAAGAAAAAGGCTGCGCCCAAGCCAGCGGCGAAGGAGGGACCCCCGCGCGCCAAGGGGAGGAAGGCCACGAAGAGGCAGCCGAGCTCCTTGGACTCGGATTCCGATTTGGATGTTGGCTCGAAGCCTTCCAAATCCGTGGCATCAAAGGTTTGTGCCCTGCACCCCTCAGTGCCAGGGGATCCACAGGGAGCGGGGTCGGTCCTGGCAGGAAAAGCCGGTGGAGGTTAAGCCTCTGCCTGCCTGTGGGGAACAGGGTGGTCACAGAATCGTGGAATCTCCTGAGCTGGAAGGGACCCCCAAGGATCACTGAGTCTGACTCCTGGCCCTGCCCAGGACACCACAACAATCCCCCCCACTCTCCCTGAGAACGTTGTCCAGACACTCCTGGAGCTCTGGCAGCCTTGGGGCCGTGCCCACTGCCCTGGGGAGCCTGTTCAGTGCCAACCACCCTCTGGGGGAAGAACCTTTCCCTAATAAGGGCCAGACACCCACTGTACCTGTGGCACAGCGGGCCTGTGATGCTCACTGTTGTTCCCTGGGGATGCTCAGATCCATGACTCCTCTGCTTTCCCTGCAGAAATCCAAGCTGCAGGATGACACCTTCACCGCTGAGCCCAGTGCCAACAGCCCCGTAGCCCAGCCCCAGGCCAGGCCTGGCCGTGCCAAAAAGCCCGTCCAGTACCTGGAGGAGTCCTCAGAGGATGACATGTTTTGAGGTTTTAGGACAATTTTAAACTCCTGACCCACAAAGAGCTTTCAGCAGAGCTCTGGAGCTCCCACCAACGACCACCTCAGCCTAGGAAATCATCTCCAAATACAAGCCACTCCAAAAATGTTCGTTACAGGTGAACACAGCTCGTTTTTTCTTGGTTTTAAATAATTTAGATTTGTTGAAACAAGAACATCCCCTTTTTTGTGAGCACTGGAGCCACATGCCCAGTGAGTGCTGCCACACTTCCCTCTTCCCTGTTATTTGACACTTTGTGGTCATTTTGGTGTTAAAGTTGACTTCAGAACATGCCAAATTTTTTTAAATTGATGCAACCCTCATGAAATATCTTAAAATACTAAAATATACAAACTTAACTCCACCACCTGACACAGGTGAGCTGGAGCCATTTTTCCAGCAATTCTCCCTGTAAATATTTTTTGTGTTTTTCTTTGTTGTCCTGAGTTTGTCTTTTTTAATATTTGTCTAATAAATGTGTTTATACTTATTTTCTTCACTGCATTTGAGTGTTTGTTTTTAGGAAAATAACCACTGCAGAGCTTGTGCTAAACTTTCCCTCCCTCTGCCAGAGCAGAGGGTTTGGCACAAGCTCTGGGGGTGTTGGGCTGGTTGGCCACTTCCCCACTGGTTGTGGCCACTGTGGCTCCCCAGCCAAATTCCTGTGAACACCCCTGTTGTCCCCAGCACGGGAGGAGCTGCTGGGCCAGAGCAGCTGTGCCCTGCCCCATCCCTGGCCAGTGTCCAAGGCCAAGAGCACTGGGACAGGGCTTGGAGCACCTGGCGGCTAGTGGAAGGTGTCCCCTGCCCCATGGCAGGGGACAGTTGGAGGACTGGATGGGCTTCAAGGTCCCTTCCAACCCAAACCATTCCATGACTCCATGAAGCCCCAGGGCCCCCCACACTATCGGTGCTTTGCTGGAACCCAGTCAAGTGTGGAAAGCACTGTCAGATTTTCCACTGGCTCTGGAGAGTGTCTCCGGCGCGTCCCCTCCGAGGGCCGGGCTATTTACGGCTCCTCTGCTGCAGAACCGTTGTCACAGCCCAGGACGAGGCCACGGGTGGGTTGTGGGGCTGCTCCCAGAACCCCAGCACCACCCAGAC